AGACAGAACAAATCCTAATCTATCTCATCTTTCCTAATAAACATTATACTCAGCAAACGAATATACTGTTTAACCATCCAGCTAAAGTATCCTGCGCCCGGAGCTCCTAATCTGGCCAAGAGAACCAAAGAGCTAGTGGAGTAGGCTGGGTTCAGGCCGGTGAGAGAGGACCACAGCCGCGGGCTCGACCATGGCGCATGGGTGCCCTTGATGTTCAATGTTCATGTACCCGAAGGCTGACATCCCGGTGTGCCAGCTCTCCGTGCAGACCCATCGCAACGGCACCTACCACTACAACCCGGGCAAGGTGCTGGCTCCCCTCAGGGGCGAAGGCGTCCTCGTCCTCGGCTCCGGCAGTGCGACGCACAACCTCGGCAAGATGGGGCGCGACGACGAACTGGTGCTGCAGTGGGCCTCCGACTTCGACACTTGGCTCAGGGACCCGCTTCTCGTCGGGAGGTAATGCTGAGCTGGTGACCACGGCCATGATGGACCTCCACAGCGATCGCCTCGTGATCGTGACAATCCTTCTCCTTCTTTGCTTGTCATGGCCGCCAGGTACAACGACGTGAACCACTACGAGGAGAGGCCAAATTTTGTGTTTTGACCCTTTTCACGTCTAAAATCGAGATCTGACCCCGTTATGGAAAAATTTCGAGATTTGACCCTTTTGCTACCGCCGGAGACCCCGGCGGTAAATGTGTGCAGGCTACCGCCGCTCCTCGTGGCGGTAGGTTCCCTGATGCCGTCTGGCCGTTAACGACCGTGTACACGTGGCAAAGGACCTACTGCCTCCGTCTATGGCGGTAGGCTGTTGCAACCTACTGCCGGGCTCTCCGGCGGTAGCTTCCTGGATAAGGTTTTGAAGGAGGGGGTTGTGCTGCTCCCCCACCCACTCATTCACCCCATTCTTCTTTCGAGCTCTCACTCTCTCCCCCTCTTCTCCCCCACCAAATCACCCACTAGATCTCCCTCCATTGCTTGAGATTTGGCCGGTGGATCAAGGCCATTTGCATCACCCAAGGTACCTCCCCCATCCCCGCTTCATTTGGTTGGTTCAAATCATGCATTTTGATCATTTTGTTGGAATCACTAGTTCATGGTTTTGTTGTGGTGAAATCAATGTATATGATGCATTTAGGGTAATGTTTGTGCTTTGACAATGTATTTTGTCACTAGCATTGTTTGGATAGTAAGAAAAATCATTTAGGCTTTTGTTAGGGTTAATGACATGGTTAGGGTTAAGGTTGTGTTTATGGTTATGCTTAAGTAAATGCCTATATGACGAACGTTATGGTTATAGTTTAATTAGGGTTTTGTTAGAGTAGGTACCTCTTGAATTATAGCTCGATCTACTCCTAGGGTTCTAGTTTTTTGTCAAGAGACGGTCCTGATTTTTGCCTTGGATGACTGTTATAGTAATCCCTCGACTTGTAGGATGGGATCGATCATCTTTGTTGAGACTTTCGCGAAGGCGGCGGCGAAGCGTGAACGTGCAGTCATTGAGGAAAAGATGGACTTGTGGGTCAAAGCCATTGATGCATTGAATGCGGCTTGTAGAGATTTTTCAAAGTAATATGTGTCGAAGTGCGACGATGCCAGAGTTAAGTTATACCATGATAAATAGAAAAACATAAGCAACCTCAAGAATGAAGAGAAAAATCATAGACGCGCTCTTGCAGGGCAAATTGCATTCTATGGAACAAGGGATGAAGTGAATGAGATGGACTTTAACAAGCCTGGCCAGATCATTGATTGGCTAGTTAGGCAACCATCGTTGGCGATACTTAGTCGGGCAGCTCGTTGGGCTTGGGTCCGTGAAAGAAATGATGTCATTTGTTGCAACCCCGGGCCGTACGACAAAGATGTCTTGTTGATGGATTAGTAGAAGGGGTTGAAACAAATGATGTTGTAGTGTCATTTGGATTGTAATGGCATGTACCCTTATCATTTATGCAACCTATGTCATTTGAACCAGTTAGAACATTATGTAACCTAGGTCATTATAAATAAGTTATGCTTTGTGTTTGTATTGTATCATTTGATTTGAGTTATGGTTTGTTCCATTTCATGTAGCATGGAAAACATGACCCCGGAGCAGTTGAAGAAAGTATATGAGAAGTGTTGTGGCATTGCATCTAAGAGTTTGGCAGCAGCGTCTGAGAAGATTGTACCAGAGCGACAACTTGCTATCATGAGGGAGCTTGAAGCATGGTTCAAGAGCAATGGTGAGGAGTTTGCTGCCATGATGGATTTCAACAAGTATCCATTCATGGAGGAACCTTCTGATCTTAAGGAGAGAAAAGTTTTATGTAGGCTTGTGAAAGAAAAACAGAAGATACTAACTGAGCTGCATGAGAAGGAATATGCTTGCAGACATTCTGTGGCAATGGAGATCTTTTTCTCTATGAACATAGAAGAATTCTGCGAGCTGGACTTGAGAAAACCCGAACAGGTCATTGGATGGGCAATCAGACAAGGCAAGTCAGAGATTCCGGAACGCCGTGCTCGATGGGCCTGGTTTGGCGAAACGAAAGGTGTGTTGGAGAATTGGGTGGGATCGTCGGATTATTAACTGAAGCCTAATCCTGATCATGACGCACAAATTGAACGTCTTATGCGTTTTAGATCTTTCTTTCCAGAGTAGAAAATGTATGCTCGCGCTTGAGCTTTGTAGTTTGAACTTATGTCATTCGAATCGCTAGAAGGGGGACATGGACATGGATCAGTTATGTATGTCTTTGCTACTTGATCATTTCTAGTTTGAACTTATGTCATTCGAATCGTTAGAACAGGGACATGAATCGTTAAAAAAGTGTCATTTGTGGATGTAATGAACGATGCTCAGTTATTAATGTCTTTGCTACTCGATCATTTGTGGATGCTTAGTTCATAGAAAGTTGTAAGAAATGGAAAGGCAAAGGGCTAAAAAATAACATAGATCAGCACCTACTGCCATAGTCTCGGGCGGTAGGGTGCCCAACCCTACCGCAAAATCAGTAGCCTACTTGGTCATAGAAAAATGGCCAACCCTATCGCCATAGGCACCAGCGGTACGTTGACCAACCCTACCAAAAAAATAGTGGTCGGCTTGGTCACAGAAAAATGGCTGCTAGGATGGCCAACCCTACCGCCATGATCCTTGGCAGTAGGAGCCTACCGCCAAGCCTGCTGGCGGTAGGATGGCCAACCCTACCGGTGAACGGGGGACCGTTTCGGTCACAGAAAAATGGCTGCTAGGATGGCCAACGCTACCGCCATGATCCCTGGCGGTAGGAGCCTACCGCCTAGGCTGCTGGCGGTAGGATGGCCAACCCTACCGCAGAACATGGGACCGTTTCGGTCACAGAACATTTCTCCATCCTACCGCCATATCCTCCAGTGGTAAGGTTTCATATCCTACCGCCATGAGGGTTGGCGGTAGGGTGCTCTGTTTTTCTCTGTTTGCCCTGTTTTTCTTCTTCATCACTTCAAGACAAATCAAGTCACAACAACAACAAAACAAACATAGTTCATGATATAGTTTCATCAAATTGAAGATGTAGTTCATGACAGGTTTCGCAAATAAAGTACATAGTTCATTATAGGTATCACAAATCAAAGACATAGTTCATCACATGTTTCTCGAATCGAAGGCATAGTTCATGACTATTTTTTTGAAACGAAGGCCTTATTGGGTCACACGAGGCCATTTTCCTTTTTTGTCGCGTGCCTCATCCTCCTCTTGGGCTTCACGAGCCCTTGCAAGCTTTCTTGCTCTCTCCTCTTGACGAGCAATCTTCTCCTTGCGTGCCCTCTCCTCTTCACACTTCTTGTGCTCCATCCTCTCCTTTTCACGACGCTCTTCATCCAAGCCTCTCTGAAATGCTTCTTCAAACAACCGCTGCCTCCTTAGACAATCTCGATGTTGATCTTTCTTAACATCTTCTAGCACATCTTGATCTATCCATGTGAAGTACTTACAAAGTGGAGGCGGCGACTAGGTACGAATAAAGAAGAAATGTGGTGTCATTAGTAAGATAGATTCAAAGGTTGACGACATGTTTGAACTTGAACAACTTACCGGCAGTACATCATAGGCGTGAGCTTGACGAGGACGATCATAGGCATAGTTGGGACAAACAAAATATCTTCTTCCTTCCGTCCATGATTTCTTGCGGTCGGTGGATACCTTAACTTTGCAAACATCTCCACACCAACATGATGGAGTTCTCATATCTTTGTCCTTCACCTTATCCAACTCGGCGTCTGTCCACTTGTCCGGCATATCCTCGTGGTTAGCACACAGTGGCCTCGTCATGGAACCGGAAGAAGCCATGCCTATAAAGACAAATTTGGTAGTTAATAAAGTAAAATAACATGTATGTATGCAAAAAAACAAAAAAACAAGTCCAAATAAAAAGTACCATTCACCTTATTTCAACCATATGGGTTAAGCAAGATGTCAATAGGCCTTCCTCTATCAACCCTTCTCGTCCTAGGAGCACGACCACCGGTACCCGACCGTCCCCCACGCCCTCTCATACTGTCTCCTTGTCCACTATCGCCAAGATTCGTCCGTCCTCCACGCACACCACTCCTGCCTCCTCGTCCACCACCACCCCTACCTCCTCGTGTGCCATCGGTACCTCCTCTTCGAGCACCACTTTGACTAGGATCCGGAGTGTTGGCATCGGTCCGTGGCTTTTTGGTGCATTTCCTAACATTGTGTCCCGGCTCGTCACATTTACCACAACTGTTGATGTCCGGTGCCTCCATGAAATGGCCGCTACCAAATTGTTTCATTCTGGTGTATCCAGCTAGGTCATCCATGTCACCCCTAAACCTCTTCTTTCTTCTTCTTCCCTTTGTAGGCACCATGAGTTCGGGGTCGGGGACGATGTGTGGCCCATGATACTCAGGCCACTGTGACTGATCTAGGAAGGGATGAAACCTAGGAGCCCATGTCAACCTCGTTCGTTCCAATGTGAACTCATGCAACCGCAAGGTGGTACCATCGGATACTTTCAAGTTTCTAAACCTTGAGGCGGTCATCACATGCGAGCAGGGCCAATGATACTTGTGAGGTCTGTCGCACTGACACCACCGGGTCTTGAGGCGCACCTAATATGCTACTCCACCATATGTCATGTCGTCCCTTGTTGTGCCACCCGGCTCATCGACTTGGTAGATTTGTTCTTTTTCATTGAAACTAATGATTTGTTGACGCCAAGACTTGCGTGCTTGATGCTTCAACCAATCCTCAAATTTTGAAGGGAAATTCCTTTTTCTCACTATCCATTTGGCCGTCTCTTCGGAATGCCTCAGAAAATACTCATTGAGCTTGAAGAAGGTATATTTCACTATTGTAGTGACCGACAAAGAACGGACACCCTTGAGCACATTGTTGAAGCATTCCACCATGTTACTTGTCATGTCTCCGTATCGGAAACCTCCTTCGTCGTAAGCACGTGACCATTTATGCTTCTCCGGAAAATTCCTTGTCAAGAATTCTCTCCCTCCTTTGTTCTTCTCCAACGCCTTGAATAGATTATCATAGCGGCTTTGGAATGTGTCGGTGTTGAATGCCACACAAACATGGGTAAGATCTTTGCAAAACTCCTTACTCTTGCATGCACGGTAAAAGTTTGCCATGAAATGCATCATGCACCAACGGTGTTGGAGCTTTGGATAGCCTAGAATGTCAACTTATATTGCTTTGAGAATCCCATGATGGTGATCCGATATGATGCGCACCTCTCTTTTGGGGCCAATCACCTTCGTCCTCACATGATCCATGAACCACTGCCAATTATCATCGAGCTCGGAAGGCACCAACGCAAATGCCACCGGTAACACATTGTCATTGGACGAGTGGGCCATTGCTACCATCAACGTGCCCTTGTACTTTCCGGTCAAGAACGTGCCATCAATTGACAACATGGGGCGGCAATGCCTAAATGCATCGATGCATTGCCCAAAGCTCCAAAAAGCTCGATGAAACACTCCCTCGATTGACTCGACCCTATGGCGCATGCCTGGATTCCGATGAGCAATGGCTCCCAACATTCTCGGGAGAATGTTGTACGCGGCGACAAAATCACCATGCAACATCCTTATAGCGTTTGCCTTCGCCATCCACGCCTTTCCATACTTGACCAGGTACCTGAATCTTTCGAAGACCGAACTCATGAGGAACTTCACCTTCACGGTTGGATCATGGGATATCTCATTCAACAATTTATAGCCTAGATACTTGGACGTGAGTTGGCGGTGTGCCTTGCTTCGGTCTGCTTTCTCCGGCGGTATGCACTTGTGGGTGGCCACACAACTCTTCAACTCCCATTGCCCGGTTTCCTTGATCTTTCTTCCATGGACCTTCCATGGGCAACCTTCTTTGTCACATTTGATTGTGTAGCGCAATTTTTTGTTGGAATGACCAACAACGAACGGCCTATGGTTCCGAATGGCATAGTCACTCAACCATATCTTGAACTCTTGTAAACAACCAAACTTGATCCCTTTCTTCAAATGAGCATTCTCGTCCTCACTCAGTGGCCTTGGATCACCCATCCTCGGGCAATGCGATGGTTCGATCAAGCCCAACCTCATGCCACCATCAACAACGGCCTTGTCGGCAAGGCTAAGATCATGAAACAAAGAGGGTCCTCTTTCCTTGCCATTGACCTTCTTGTAAATTTGATTTTCTTGCGGCGTGAATCCATCCTCATCCAATTCTTCCGGTGGACCCTCATCATCCGACTCATACCTACACATACGGCTATAAGGGAGGTTCCGGTCCATGTCTTGTTGATGCACAATGACATCCAAGTCACCAATGGGATTGTAATTAATCTCTTCTTCTTCCGCATACACATCATCTTGAGCAATAGCATCTCCATAAACATGAGCAATGGCATCTTCACAACATGAACATTTGCATGTTCATCCACATGAGAAACGGCCTCATCTCCAACATGATCATCACCTAGAAGAACTATGGCTCTAGCATTGATGTCCTCTTCATTTGGTTGGCTACTTGGTGGTTGGCTAGCCGCATTGTGGTCATACACCATGACAGCATCATGTATTGGGGAGGACACATTCCGGTTCAAGTCAAGTAGTGGTCGAGGAACTTCAACCTTTACTTGTCTTGTGGCAAATAACTCAAGTAACTTGTCTTGTGATCCCTCAACTTTCTCCTTATAAACGTCCCAATGCAATTGAGAGGTGATGGGCATACTCTTTAATCGGGATCTTACTCCCACTTCCACATCATACCATCCAATAAGCTTCACACCATCACTTGGATTAATCCAATTGAGGACGTTTCTCACTTTCACGATAATATCATCATAGCTCGGGCTTGTGTCAAAAACCATGGCCTCCTCCCATTCATCGGCATTTCCATCCATGAAAGCTGCCTTGTCCAAATAATGCACATTCACTAGTTTATCCATCTAAAACAATGGAACAAAATTGAGTCATCCATGGACCGGTCATTTCATATGGATGAACTATCTAAAATATAAGATTTTGAATCTAACAACTAGTGTACCTTAATCATAGCACTAACCCTAACCCTAACCCCAACCTAACTAAACCCCTAACCCTAACTCTTAAGCTACCTTGCCACAACAAAGAGTGACACATATTACTTAGATCAACCATAAATGTGCCATAAATGCACAATAAATGCTAAACTAGAAGAAGAACTAGGGGGTTGCAAAACTAGTTGATTCCAACAAAACTAGATGATTTGAACCAACTAAATGAAGGGGGGATGGGGGAGGTACCTTGGTGATGCAAATGGCCTTGATCCACGGGACAAATCCCAAGCAATGGAGGTGGATCTAGTGGGTGCTTGGGTGGGGGAGAAAAGGGGGAGGGAGTGTGAGCTAGGGGAGGAAGAAGATGAGTGGAGTGGGTGGGTGATGAGTAGACCCCACCGAACCTTATCTCTAGGACCCTACCGCCAAAGACCTCGGTGGTAGGGTGTTCTAGCCTACCGCCGAGGTGTGCGGCGGTAGGTCCCTTTGCCACGTCAGACACCCTTAATGGCCAAATGGCCGTCAAAGCAACCTACCGCCAGGGAGGACGGCGGTAGCCTGTACACATATATCGCCAGGGAGGACGGCGGTAGCCAAAAGGGTCAAATGTCGAAAAAAATTCAAACTAGGGTTAGATCCTGATTTTAGATGTGAAAAGGGTCAAAACACGAAATTTTGCCACGAGGAGAAGGCGCCGCACGCCAAGACGGCGCACCCGTCGCCGGAGCATTTCTACCCGCTGCTCGTCGCGCTCGGCGCCGCCGAGGACGAGCCCAAGGTGGAGCTCATCCACCCAGGCCCGGCCCGGATGGGGGGGGGGAGCAGGGGGCGGCCGCCCCGGGCCCCCGAAATTGAGGGGCCCCCATGTACGTGGGCGCTCTCTGTATCCGGCCCATGAGAAAAAATGATTCTGGGCTAATTTTGATCTGGGCAAGTAAATCAGCGATTAGCTAAATTGGTGGAACTTCCGTTTCCCTCGCGCAGGTCCGTGCATGACGACATCAGCGATTGACCTAGCGACATATCCCCTAAAGCCGGGGGCGATCCAGCCGCCGGCACAGCCTACTCTCGCAGAGACCTCCCCCGATGATTTCTTGTCCAATGGCGGATCCAGTAGTTTCATGTTCATCGCCATGGACAGGAGTAACAACACCACCGGCCCTGGCAGGAAGTTTTAAACTACAGAGATCAGGTTAGCATCTTCCTGATGCATCATCCAACAGAGCTAAGCTAGATTGATATGTGACTACTTGGTGTTAGAATTATTAGATCTAGTGAATTAGCGGAGAAGAGTAGGACGTAGTTTTCCTTCTGACTATTTTTAATGCAATCCTTCGGATTAATTAATCTGGTTGTGTTGAGATCGGTGAAAGATGAGGGAAGAGGATTTCTAGAATTCATGGTGAAAGATCGTGGATGTCGCCTAGAGGGGGGGGGTGAATAGGCGTTTTAAAATAATTATGGTTTAGGCTTGAACAAATGCGGAATAAACCTAGCGGTAAATTTGTCAAGAACAAAACCTAAAACAACTAGGCTCACCTATGTGCACCAACAACTTATGCTAAGCAATATAAGCAACTATGTGATAGCAAGATATATGACAAAGAACAATATGGCTATCACAAAGTAAAGTGCATAAGTAAAGGGCTCGGGTAAGAGATAACCGAGGCACGCGGAGACGATGATGTATCCCGAAGTTCACACCCTTGCGGATGCTAATCTCCGTTTGGAGCGGTGTGGAGGCACAATGCTCCCCAAGAAGCCACTAGGGCCACCGTAATCTCCTCAT